TTATTTTAGGTGGAAAAATCCAAGATAATCCTGGTCCTGGTATATATATATCAAATAAATTTGCAACCCATTTGTCGAATTAAAAATGGTTAATTAGATTAACAATTCAACACTTAGATATCAACAATTGGACAAGAAAGAATGTGAAATTGTGAAAGTGAAAAAATTATGCAAGTATGTATATAAAAACGATAATATACTTAATAAAATTTATTAGCGTAATGAAATATATTCAACCGTATTCGATAAAAATATTATTTATCTATAACAAATAGTACAAATTATTAAATATTTCAACAAACCTAATACTAGATATGAATGTATCATATATATATATATATATATATATATATATATATATATATATATATATATATTAGGGTGGTCCTTAATATGGACACTTTCGAATTTCCTTGCTCCCAAGGGCTCAAATTGATAAAAAAACAATTTTCTGAAAGTTTATCTCTTAATATAAACTTTTAGATAGTGTTCAATCCAACAAATGAATTAAAAGTGAAAATTCGGTAATTTTTCATTGAAAATCGACGCTCTGCCAAATGCTTGCAAATTTTTTCCATGCTATTTCCATACAAACCTTTGATGAATCGCGCTCTATCTAAAAGTTAATATTAAGAGCTAATACTTTCAGAGAATTGATTGTTTTTTATCAATTTTGGAATCATTTGACTATGGGGAGCGGAAAATACAAAATGTCCATGTAAGGACCACCCTAATATATATATATATATATATATATATATATATATAATGTTTATATACGTTTATGAACAATAATATAAATAATCTTGATTAAAGTACATCTACCGCCATCAAAGAAATATTAAATGAAAAATTATTCTCAAGTTCTTATTTTATTATGTAGATATATATATATATATATATATATATTCGATATGTAAATATAAATTAACATAAATAAATATAAACCTATTTTAATGATACTTATAATTCATTAATCACAGTTTCAATTAATATTCTTTAGTAACATATCTTATCCATAAAAAAATATAAATATGCTATATTTATATTTTTTATAATAAACTACTTCTACTTACTTTAGTCATAGAATATAAAATTAAATATTATAGTATGTTTGATACTAATTTGATCTAATGTTATTATTTGTATTCTTATTTATTAAAAATAATTAAGTAATCTCTTCTTGGTGTTATTTACACCAAATTTTAAGTTCACTCTCACTTAGCACTTTTGTAAAGTTTAACACTATATTACTAATTAAGTATAAACAATTACCTCGTAGGGTTCAATTTAATCATGATCTAACTTTCTGAAAGTCCCAATATTTCCAGGTTCGTCTTTTAATTGAATTTTGTTCAGAACATAATTTTTCGCTATTATAACATCATCATCGGCAATTTTAGTAGAAGGTTTCTCACCATTCATAATATTTTCATCAGAACATTCGGGATCTTCATTGGAATAACAATGTTTACCATCATCAATGCCATTTTGGTTTCTGGAAGATTTTCTTTCTTTTAATATTCCATTTTTTTGTTTTAGAGTATTTGATTCCTCGGTTTCGTTGATGTCGAAAGCAAAATTATCAGATGCCACTTGTTTGGATATTGTTTCTTTTTTTATTATTGCACTGTTTGCACATTTGCTTCCTAGGTAGGCTCTTGGTTTTCCTGATAATAATAAAAAAATTAAAAAAAATTTCATGAGGATTGGATTTATGGTCAATGGTTACAAAATGAACGGATGTATGTGTGTGTATGTTTGTGTGTATGAATGTGCGGATGCAAATTTTTGTCGAAGATTTTGAGAGCACGGATCAACTCATTTCAATTTTTCAACGGCAGTTCCAGCCATTTCGAAGATACCAAGAAAAAAATGCCAAAAACGGAGTGTGTATTCAAACATACACACACATATATCCATTTTTTCTAAGACATGCCAAAATGTACAGAAACCTTTTAAACGTAAAAATATGCAAACATTTGCATTTTCGATTTTTCGAGCGTCCGAAGATTTAAAAAATGTTTTACTAATATTGACGAAACAAAGAATTGATAAAATTTGCTGGAAGGCAAGTCTAGCGGTTTCGGAGATTCAGAGAAGAGTTTGAAAAAAATGCCATTTGGCAGTCAAAAATGATCATTAGACATATGCTCATCTAATCAGATATTTTATAGATATTTTGAATACAAGTACAATATTTGTTACCATTTGTATGGTTTCCGTACCAAGTTTTATAATGCATAAAGTTCACTTGTATAGTTTAAAAAAATAGTCTTAAAGTTAGACATTTTCGACAGTATGGTTTAACCGACTTGAATTTGTTTAAAAATTCAAAATTTTCAAACTTTCCACAAGACTAGATTATTTTTCAAAAATTTCAAAAATCCAATGTTTTCAGTTTTTAACTCCCCGTCGGGTAAGTTATTGTAGTCGTCCAAAAATCGAAATTGAAAATTTCTGCATTTCTTCACGTTTTGAAGGTTTCCGAACATTTTGGCATACATGAAAAAATGGATGTGTGTGAGTGTGTGTATGGATACAATTTATCGTCCATGTTTTTGGGCGCACGGATCAACCGATTTGATTGGTTAAAAAAATATTCGGTTCCTATTGATGAAAAGATTATTTTTTGGCAAAGGCAGGTCCTGCTGTTTCAGAGATACGAAGCAAAGAGTGCAGAAAATATAAATCGAGTTTATGAGAGAACGGAGTATCCGATTTGAATGATCTAAAAAACATTCAGTTCGTAATGACGAGGAGAAGTGGTGATTAGTTTTTGAAAAAGGCAGGTCCAGCCATATCGAAAATACTAGGCTAAATGTACAAAAAATGCCAGTTTTTGAGAGAACTAAGCATCCGATTTGAATGATTCAAAAAACTTTCTGCTTGTGTTGACTAAACAATTGTTTTTAAATTCCAAAAAAAAATTTTAATATCGAAAATAATTCGGATTTTAATTTTATTTCTATCTAAAGTTCTAAAGCTCACTTATATACTTCAAATTTGCAATTCATTTTATATGGTACTATTCTATTAGACAATGTTCTTCATTTTAAATTTGATTGATTAAGTTTTGTTTATTTACTTTTCTGTAAACTTATATAAGTTACAGTATTTATAATAATCTATTTGCTATTCCTCAAAAACTACGATTTCTACATGAGATAAACTAATAATACCTTTATCAATGCACTAAATTTTTTGTTGATGAATGATCTATGATTTTTATTACGCATCCATGCAATGATTTCAAAGCAAATGATTTATTTTCATTTTTTTTATGATTGATTTTTATTATTCAGCCGCCAATGTATACAAATGACGACCTGCAACCATCAACGGGAATTAACAAATGATAGTTTATAATTGAAAAAATAAATATTACCTGGACAGAGTCTGCTTAGTTTCAGAATAAATGGATGCAATAATTTTTCATCGTAGATGTCATTTTCTGAACTTGTGAAGTAGGAAATTATTGTTCCGATGATCACTGTCAGAGTTGTTCCGATGAAACTGTAGTACATGTAGGTGATCGAGTAGAGTGCCTTCAAGGGATCACTGGGGAAATTGAAAAAAAATAAAATTTATTAAATTTATTATATTTCATACCACTTTGGCATATCAAAAATCCTATTATTAACTTCCCGAAAGAGAAGTTTATGTTTTCATAAAAAAATCCGATTCGCTAATTTTATGTTTTCTCGACGTTTCAAGCCATTCTGAATCGAATCAGACCAGATTTGGAATAAGTATGTGTGTGTGCGTGTGTGTGAACGGATTTTTTGCCGTATATCGATGTTTTCTCAAAAATACCTAAACCGATTTCAGAAATTTAAAAGCCATTCAAGGTGTCTCGATGAGGACTAGCGTTTATCAATTTTGCGCGACGATCAGTCAAGCCGTTTCTTTGTAAATTGCAGAAAATGAAAACATTTTCGTCCACGTTTTAGCCCCCAATTCTGAATCGCTTTTGAAAATTCAAAAACCGTTCGAAAAATATTGGTTAGAAATCGTACTGATTAGTTTTTGGTAAAGATCGGCCGAGCCGTTTTCTTGTAATAAAGTGTTAAAAAAAAATATTTTCGACGATTTCTATGATTTTTTTTGATGCTAGATACCATAGTCTTATATATCATACTAAAATATTACGCTCCTACGACAAGTCGTTTAATTTTAAAAATTCTTCAAAGTTTGCAAAAATTAGTATCGTTTTTTTGGCGTTTGTCAAAATTAGGAACTTTCATCAACGTTTTCTCAAAAACGCCTGAACCGATTTCAAAAATTTAAAATTTAATCAATGTATTTTGATGCGGATCATCTTTTCTCAGTGTTGTGCAGCTATCGTCTGAGCCGTTTCTTTGTAATTTGGAAAAAAGTGTTAAACTTTTCGTCCACATTTAAGCTCATACTGCCTAATCGATTTTAAAAAATCAAAAACTATTCGAAAGATATTAGTTGGGAATGATACTGATTAGTTTTAGGTGAAAATCTTCCGAGCCGTTTTCTTGTAATTAACTGTTGAAAAAAAATTAAGCCGATTTTTATAGAAACTTTTTTGGCGATATATGTTATAGTCTTATAGAACTTACTGAAACATTACGGCCTTACAATAATTAGTTTAATTTTAAAAATTCATCAAAGTTAAGACTTAGACGATTATTTGGTATAATGATAGAGTACTTGATCTTAATTAACATACTAAACCATTAAAGTCCTACGGAAACTGATTCAATTATAAAAAAATTATTGAGTTTTGAAATATTGAGTTGTGAAATATTGAGTTTTTTGCTTTTAAAAAATACTCCGAGTTAACGTGTTCGTTCGTTTTCAATGATGTGTAATAAATCCACTCGGAATACGTTTAATGACTCATAAATTAATTTATTTTTTATTGATTAAGTCGATTATTTATACATATCGGGAAGTTCATGTAACTTGCCTCAAGGCAAAATATCAATACCAACTAGTTATTAAATGTGTTCCAAAAAAAACTAAGTAATGGTTCAGAAATCGTGATCATTTACCTGTGTTGTTCAGAACTAGTCAGATCGCTTGCATTAGTATTCAAAACAGTACTAGATATATTATTTTTGGCCCAATCTACTTCCAATGGTGTACTGACTGGCCATTGTTGTCCAGGAAGATATATGTGAGAAGAAAAGCTCTCGTTTGTACAACCCTAAAGATATCAGATTATTAGTAACCGAAATGAATCAGTCTGATCTTTTTATTTGTTATTTTAATAGATATTTTATTTGGTGTACTTACTGCAGTGGATAAAGGCAACATGACCGTTGGTGCTTTTTCGACAGTCAAACCTCCAAATGTGATCCACAAAGTAATTATGTGAGATACAATCATTCCAGTTGCAGCTCCCTAAAAAGACAAGTAAATAGATTAATAAACTAGTGGTGTATGGCATCGTGCCTTAATGCAAATTGCTGGAACTTCCCGTACCGTAATCAAATATACGAGAAATTTTAAACATTTTCAAGTATATTATTACAAATACTGTAACTTTCATTATTTTTGCTATCTTGTTATATCTGAGCAAATCAAATGTAAATCATAAATCAATTAATCTCCAGAACATTAACAATCGTCATTTCATTTCGAATTCAATTTAAAAAAAATAGTTGCCTAATTTACACAAAATTGTAAAAGTGCTCTCGTATAGTCACAGTCTAAACGCATTTGCAAATAATTCTGTGCGACATGTTCACTTATACTGTGCTTAGTTCGGCGGCATTTTCATATTTTTTTCATATTACTAATTGAATGTTTTTTAGATCATTCAAATCCGATACTCCGTTCTCTCAAAAACTCTATTTGTATTTTCAGCACTCTTTGCTCCGTATCTCCGTAACGGCTGAAACTGCCTTTGCCAAAAACTAATCAGCGCATTTCCCTATCAATGGAGATCGAATGTTTTTTAAACCATTCAAATCGTTTGATCCGTTCACCCGAAAACGTGGACAAAAATGCGGACATACAAAACATGCACACGTCCATTTTTCTGAGGTTTGCCAAAATGCTCAGAAACCTTCAAAACGTCGAGAAATGCAAAAAATTTCATTTTCGATTTTCGGCTCATTGCTATAATCACCCTACGGGAAGTTAATTAGGCAAAGGACTCATTTCGAGCTTTAGAAGTGTGATCAATTGCGGTAAAAAAAAACACAGCAAATGACCCAAAATCTGATAATTTAATTAATAATTATATTATTATCTAACCTTCCAGTTGGCACATGGTATCAACATGGCCAGCACGAAGACACCAAGAAGTGGTCCAGAAGTAGCTGAAGTCATCAGCAAAGAGCTTTCAATTACACCAGATAAAAGACCTGAAAAGCTAAAAGCATGTCGTCAAATAAATTCGATAAATTGCATCCTACATATCCATGGAGGAGAGAATAAATGAATAATTAGAAACATTTATAATTTGTATAAAATAAACAATTTAGGATTGATAGAACTCACCCACTCCAAAACTGATCCCCATTATAATGATTCCATAAAAGCAACCAACAGTTTTAATAACATTCAATTGCTGCTTGTCTGTATATCCCTTGAAAATTGGTGCATGGCTCAAAAAATCTTCCCAAGTGACAGTGGATAAGGAGTTCAAATTTGATACCGACAAACTGAAATTAAATAGTTAAAAATTAATTTAATGGATCACTATCTACAATCTAAATCTTATATATAAAAATGAATCGCAAAATGTGTTGGCAAGCGCATAACTCAACAACGCCTGGACCAATTTGGCCATTTCTTTTTTTAAAAAGTTCTTTGAAGTCTAAGGATGGTTCTTGCGTTGCGATAAAATCGAAAAATTGCCGGGAAAATCCTAAAGATAACGCTTTTCTTTTTCTCATACAAACGTTTTCTAACTAAAACGTAGAATCAATTTGAGCTTTATTGCTATTATATAAAGTTCATATTAAATTAAAAGCACTCACTGTATACTCCTCCTAAACGATTATTCGGATTTTGATAAATTTTTCTGAAGTTTGTTAAGGAAATTTTCTAGGTTGTTTGTGATTATGAAGTACTGGGATGTATGTGCAATATTGTAGAAATAAATGGAAAAATTTGCAAAAAGCGACATGTCATTGTTTGCATTGAAAACAAATGAAAACTACATCTGCCAAAAATTTCAATTTACTTATGAACCTAGACAATATTAGAGTATGTATAATAAAGTTATGATTATGAATAAGAAAAATTAAATGTCTACATTATTACTGATAAAAATAGCTGAGATGTGCCAGAAATTAAAATAATATAAAATACAGTATGTGTATAGCAGATTTAATGATACACATATAAACAGGATATGACAAATTAATTCACTTGAAATATGAAATTAAGTATTATACAGGGCCGGTCCTGCCTTTAATGCGATGCATGCGAAAAATACGAGCGCACGCATTAGGGGGCGCCAACACAAGATTCGGATATTAAATTTTCAATATATAATTTTTTTGCATCTTTTACTAATCTTTGCACAATATTTTAAAAATTCGTAAAAACTTCACTTTATAACAACAAATGGGAAAGTAAAGATGAATACATACAATTCGGCTCTCACGATATCAATTAGGAGAAGTTTAAGATGCAATTTTGGATATTTTAAACAATAAAAAATTGAATTAATTTAATACAACATGAAGTACCAGTGTTATGTTATGGTTATGGTTATGTTATACCGTTTAAATGACTTCAATTTCCAATATAGTGTGGAAATTGAGACTCATCATTTTATTTAAAGCAGTTCTACATTTAACATCGCTCATATTATAAATGTATATGCATTTTGGCGTAAAGAGTGATTTAAAAAACAATAATTATTATTTTTAGATAAACGGTAAATATTATTAATCAACAGTATATTATATTAAAAAAATTGTAGACATGGGTACAGGACAACGTCTGTCGGGTTATCTAGTTTACGATAATTATATCTTTTACCTCAGTGCTCCATTGAACAAAGTCCCCATGCACAGCCCCAATAATCCAGGAATATACGTGAATTTGTCTTCAACGAAAAATGGTAAAATTTCATCCATCTTTTTGATATATCCAGTGGTCAAAGGATCACAATCAGAATATGCTGCAAATATTCCCATTCCGGCAACCCATGATAAACTGAATAAAACTGTTATCACTGGCATATTTGACATCAAGGTCCTGGAATAATATATACATAGTAAAGTAAAGTTCAACTAAATAATATTAACTTCCCGAAGGAGAAGTTTATGTTTTCATCAAAAAATCCGATTCGCTAATTTTATGTTTTCTCGACGTTTCAAGCCATTCTGAATCGAATGAGACTAAATTTGTAAAAAATATGTATGTTTGTGCGCGTGTGTGAACATATTTTTTGCCATAAATCGACGTTTTCTCAAAAACGGCTGAACCGATTTGGCTGAAAAAAACATTCGATGTATCTCATAAATTTATCGTCCACGTTTTAGCCCGCAAATCTTAATAGATTTTGAAAATTCAAAAACCGTTCGATTGGTTGGGAATCGTGCTGATTAGTTTTTGGTAGAGATCGGCCGGGCCGTTTTCTTGTAATAAAGTGTTAAAAAGATTTTTTTCAACGATTTTTATTATTTTTTGTTTGACGGCAGATACCATAGTATTATAGATCATACAAAAATATTACGTCTCTACAACATCTCGTTTAATTTTAAAAATTCGTCAAAGTTTGCAATAATTATTATCGTTTTTTTGGCGTTTTTTCAAAATTACACCTTTCATCAACGTTCGTTTGAAAACGCCTGAACCGATTTCAGAAAGTTAAAAGCCAAATGATGTATCTCAATGAGGACTTTCGTTTGCCAGTTTTGTGTGACGATCTGCCGAGCCGTTTCTTTGTATTTGAAAAAAAGTGTTGAACTTTTCGTCCACATTTAAACTCATACTATCGAATCGATTTTAGAAAATCAAAAATTGTTTGAAAGATATTAGTTGGGAATGATACTGATTAGTTTTAGGTGAAAATCTATCGAGTAGTTGTACTTGTAAAAAACTGTTAAAAAAAATTTAAGCCGATTTTCGTGAAACTTTTTTTGGCGATATATATCATGGTCTTATAGAACTTACTGAAATATTATGGCCTTACCGCAAGTAGTTTAATTTAAAAACTCATCAAAATGAGTAGTTTTTTGATATTTATTAAAATTAAAATTAGACGATTTACTTAGTATAACAATAGAGTACTTGCTTTTAATGAACATACTAAACCATTGAAATGCTACGGAAACTGGTTCAATTATAAAAATTATTAATTTGTGAAAATTTGCTTTCAGAAAATACTCCATAAAATGTGTAATAACTCCACTCAGAATGCTTTTAATTACTCATAAATTTATTTTTTATTGATTAGGTCGATTATTTACACATATCGGGAAGTTCATGTAACTTGCCTCAAGGCAAAATACCAACACCAACTAGTTATATTTTACTTACTTCGTAACCTTTTTCTGTGATCCCATACTTAAATATCTCTGCACGAAATTTTGTTGACATCCAAATATTGTCAAAGACATGAACAATTGGCCAAGCCAAGCTGATAAAGTATCCACTCTGACTGTTGGATCGAAGGCAAATCTAGAAAAAAAAGAATTAAGATCAAATCGTAAGAGTTGAAGACACCAAGTTTTTTAACAATTTTTGTTTTCTTTCTGTACTTACTGGAAGAACTTTAGACGTCCCCTTTCCACACTGATGTTGAATACATTTCCAAAGCCGCCAACTTCGATGCAAGCCTGAATTATGATAGCAAAACTTACTGCAATCATAGTCAAACCTTGGACAACATCTGCCAATATCGCAGCCTTCAATCCACCCTGTTGAAAATATTACTCTGTTAGATCAATTCATGTTCTGGTCAAAAATGTTTTTTTTTTTTATTAATCTGAGATCCTTTAAACTAATTAATTTCTAATTCTTACCAAAATAGTGAAGATGACACTGATAGCAGTGATGCTCATAATACTGGCCCAATATGGAACTCCAATGACTGTGTTCAGTGCAACACAAGGTGTAAATACGGTGACACCTAGATTAAGTAGTTGTCTAACTATATAAGTTCCTGAAGCTAAACATCTTACTAAACGACTCTGCAAAAAAATGTGAAAACAATTATTTTTATTAAAGATCAGATAATACTCTATTTAATTGCTGTTATATAATTTTTTGAACAGAAAAAGTTTATTTGGAAATGCGGATGTCTAGAATTGAAGTCCTAGTTTTGGACAACCTGATATCAAAAATCCAGTTTAGCTTGACAATACGGAGTAAAATATTTTAATATGTGAAAAATAACACACCCCTCGCCTAAAATTGCAGTATATCGTTACTGTCAAAAATAGACTAACTATTGAAATGCATTCTAACAACAAAATACATCAAATAAATGTGACACCCATTGGGTTGTCTTCTAATATGGAACTCATTAACCCCTTAACTTAAAATAACGAGCAGAGTCCGCGAGCAATTGCTAGGCCAAAAGTGAATATTACGGGCATAGCCCGCGTACGGTGTTCGGGCCAGAAGCAAATATTACGCATTTTGGGCATGGCCGGGTACGGTGAATGCAAATATTATAAAATATTTATTCATACGAAACCATAAAACACAAAATTATTTTTATTTTTGTGATAAACCGTACACTATGAGGGAGAATAGTCACAACGCCGCGCTTGCTTGAACGACTTTGGGCCGACATTTTCGAACCTAAATCATAAGTTAAGGGGTTAAATAGATAAGATAAAGAAAGAATTACTTAGATATAAAATTCATCAGATTGTCTGAGAAGCTTTGAGAATTCCATAGATATCAATTTCTAGGTGTAAGTAGCAAGGCAAGTTGCGTGAACTTCCCGATATGTGTAATAATTGACCTAATGATTTAAAATTAAGATTTAGCTTTTAAGAAAAAAAATGTTAGCTGTTGTAATCGTTTAAAAATTGAAAATACAAATTTTTGTATATCTTCACGTTTTGAAGGTTTTTGAAGATTTTGGCATACCTCAGAAGAAATGGATGTGTGTGTGTATGTATGTATGTAAGTATTATACAATTTTTGGTCCACGTTTCCAGGCGCACGGATCAACCGATTTGAATGGTTAAAATAACATTCGATTCCTATTGATAGGGAGATGGGCCTATTAGTTTTTGGCTAAGGCAAGTCCAGCCGTTACGGAAATACGAAGCAAAGAGTACATAAAATAGGAATCGAGTTTTTGAGAGAACGGAGTATCGGATTTGAATGATCTAAAAAACATTCAATTTGTAATGATTGGGAGATGAGGTGATTTGGCAAAGACAGATCCTGCCATTTCGAAGATACAATGCTAAATTTGTAAAAAATGTGAGTGAACTAAGCGTCCGATTTGAATGATCTAAAAAACTTTCTGCTTGTATTGACAAAATAATTGCTTTTGAGGATAATAAATTATTACACCTTTTTTTATTTTCCAGAAAATATTTTTGTAATTTTGGATTAAAGATTGAAAAAAATACCCAGGCTAAGCACAGTCTAAGTGTCACTCTGGTACAAATGTTTACCCAAGTGCGTTTAGACTGTTTATGTACTGGAGCACTTTTCCAATTTTGTGAAAACTATTGAAAAATGTGAAAATGCCGCCAAGCTAAGCACAATATAAGTGAAAATGTCGCACAGAATTATTTGCAAATGCGTCTAGGCTGTGACTATACAGGAGCACTTTTTCAATTTTGTGTAAATTAGGCAACTATTTTTTTGAAATTGAATCCGAAATGAAATGACGATTGTTAATGTTCTGGAGATAAATTGATTTATGATTTGCATTTGATTTGCTCAAATATAACAAAAGATAGCAAGTATAATGAAAGTTACAGTATCTGTAATAATATATTTGAAAACGTTTAAAATTTCTCGAATATTTCATTACGGTACGGAAAGTTCCCGCAATTTACCTTAAGTCGATTATTTACACATATCCGGAAGTTCATGTAACTTGCCTCAAGGCAAAATACCAATACCAGCTAGTTTATCTCAAGTATTTAAGTGAACTTTAGTATTTTTAAAATTAAAATTAAAATCCGAATCATTTTTGATATTAAAGAAAATAGACACAAATCGCGAAGAAACACACGCGTCTTCAGAAGACTTCGAGACGTAAACATATGCAAACATTTTTATTTTTCTTAAAACTCTTAAGTAGGTTAATAATGAATATACCAAATATAAAAGAATAATAAAATATAATTTTTTACTCACATTAAATCTCATATCTAAATACTGATAAACAGAAGTAATTCCTAATGAGTAATATACAGGTACGAAGACAAAACAGACGACAGGGTAGGCGCAGAGCATTCCATACAAAGTCTCCCACATCGCACTGCCTCGGTAGAACAGTTCACTTGGATAACCTGAGAAAAAAAATAAAAAAAATAATTCATAATATACATAATAATTATAGGTAATAAATTACTTATCTTCGATTATAATCTTCTACTTACCAAGGAAACTTCTAACCCCCAAAGTCCCTCTGGCTATCGACAGCATCATCGCCCCCATGGAAACAGAGGCTCCAGCAGCAAAAACATAATCGGCTTTAGTAGATGTTTTATTTGGGGCCCTCAATTTGCTCCAGAGGGGAATTAGGGAACTCAGTAAAATGAATATCACGAAGACTAGATAGTCGTACACGAGGGATGCTGCGTCTTTCGCCATTTCGGAAGCTGAAAATATAATTGATAATGATTTATTTTAATAGGTTTGATGATAGAGTTAAATATATAAAAATATCAAAGGTATGCAAAATGTGGTTGAAAAAATTTTTGATTAAAGTTACTAATAATGTAGTAAGTCAGCGAGTTTGGGACATTGGGTAATTGGGTATTCAGTAATTTTGACATAAAAGCGTTATTTTTACAGTTGGAAATTCTACTGTAACAATGCTTAAAGATGTTTAATATCAATTCTTATTTATTAAGTGAATTATTCACATAAGGATTTCATGCAATTTTCTTCAATTTTTCTATGCCTAATTTTTATTTTGATTGTAGAATTTAGGGGAGATTTTGACTATCAAAATCAACAAAATCACTCAGAAAACATCCTAAAAATAATGTTTAAAAATTCATCGAGAAAATACTTTTTTACTTGAAGATGATGTTAAAAATATATCCTTACTTTGTTTTTGTAAAATTTGTATGTAACAATCAGAATAATAAATAAAAACTAGTGCTGCATGGTATCGTGTCTTAAGAAAAATTGCTAAAACTTTCCGTATCGTAATTCAAGACTTTTAAAAGCTTTAATAATTTTGAAAACATTGAAAAAAAAATATATTTTTGAGTTGTGGAAAAAATTGTACTTCTTTGAGAATTTTTTTTTTGTATTTTAAAATTGTTTTTAAACATCTAATCAATAGATGGAAAACAGTATAAACATCTGTTTGCTTACTATTATGTAATTAGAAAGAAACAAAGTATAATAGTAATATAATATACAATTATATATATCATTATCTGAGATAGTATTGCATATATATATATATATATATATATATATATGTGTGTGTGTGTGTGAGTGTGTGTGTGTACATATGTAAAACTTATTTATTCATGCGAAGGAAAAACTTATATCAATTATACGCATAAAAGATACAAATTGACTGTTTACGTTCTTGGCCTATTTTTTAATGTATTTATTTTTGTCATATAATAAACATCCGTATCATAAATATACAGATAACTATGCCTATTAAATATATATATATATATATATTTATATATATATATATATATATATATATATATATATATATATATATATATAATTGTATCCTACTACAGGTGTACATAATGTGCAACTTGAAATTCCGGTTTCCGTACTCATTAGAAGTTCGAAAACAAAATGCCTAATAATATAATTTACTTCATATATATATATATATATAATATATATATATATATATATATATATATATATATAAATGAGTAAGTATTTATAAACCGTGAATGTCCAGATTTTAATAGTTTTTTACAACATTCTAACGTAAACAAACAACAAAGTCATGAGCACTGTTGCCTATTATAAAATTGTAATATTTATATATATATATATATATATATATATATATAAATTAAAATTTAAAAAATGAATACAACTCTAAATTTTCATCCCCCTTCCACAAAAAACTATTTCCTAATAGGCATTATAATAATCAAATAATTTTTCATCACGATTTCAGTCAATGAGTGTTTTTTTACTGACCTTATACGATAAACCATAAACTTCAATTTTTTTTAAAAAAATACTTTTTAAGGGTTGTTCACGCCTTCCATTTTCCCACTGTGCAAATATTTCCCGATGCGCACAAATAGTACATAGTTGATAAATGGTTCGCATAAAAAGAATTTTTTCGAAGAAACGGATAGATTGAATATCAAAATCTGAAGATGCAACAGATATTGATAGGGAACTATAGGTAACATACAAATCTATGCAAAATTTTACAACAAATAGAAATATATACGTATATATAAGATATGAAAACTGTTTTCATAATCTCTCGTCGTTTTCATAATCGTACCAGACACCCCTAGTTGACTGGGATATAAAAATAGTATGTAAAAAAATGCTGTAAAAGTTACCACTTTCAATACCTCAGTCAATTTAATGGGTATGCCACATAACGATATAATTTAAAAATGAATTATCGGATTTTGATTCGTAATTCAAAAATTACTGAATTGATAAAAAAGCACGGTAATAGTATATCAAACTCTTGAAACATTATATGTGCCAATTTAATTCAAGTCAGTTTCATAGGTTGGCTCTTGCAAAGACATTTATATGTGGCGTGTTTTGCAGTGAAAAAACTATTCATATATTTTTTGTTAGCTGCTCCTTTTACTTATGCACCATATTTGCAATCTGTTAGTTATTTTCGTACTAAACATTTTATACTAGACATATTTTTATGGCAAAGTAACGTTTGCCGGGTTAGCTAGTATATATATATATATATATATATATAGATTATATAATTCTGAATTTGATGTTGGCATGTGCATTAACAAATTCTAAAAATCGGAACATTAGCATAAAAAAAAAACAAATTTTATTCAGTGGAAAAAAAAAAATTAATTAACTAAGATGAATCTTAGTGTTAATTCAATAGTCCATGGTATCAAGATATGGTAATGCATTACAATAAAAATCACAAATAGATAGTGTGAAATATATTCTCTCAGAACAATAAAAAAATTGCGGAAAACATTCACAATTAGTTCCACACATGTGTATAATAGTATCTTAGTGAAAATATTAAAATGTGATTTTGAATTGTCACCTTATGCACGGTAGTATGAATATTATATATATATATATATATATATATACTAGATGACCCGACAGACGTTGTCCAGTACCCACGTCTACAATTCAAAAGTTCCAAATTTTTTAATATCCTGTACTATACTTTTTAATATCCTATTTGATGTCCTGCCTTTGAGATTCATTTATAGTCTTAGAATAAGCAGTATAAAAAATTCAGAAAAAAATAAAATAGTATCTGCGGTAAAAGAACAATATGACACTTGATTTTGCCACCCAGCATAACTGCTTCAATAATTCAGTCTATAATTTTCATTATCTCGTACGATATATTAGTTGCTTTTTGGCAATTATAATTTTAAAATGAAAAGTACATTTTTCTTACTAATGATTTAATAAACATTATTGTTTATGTTCAAATTTTAGGTAAATTAAGTTGTAAAATCTAGTTATATGTGCACTGTTCAATCTAAGATCAACTTGCTAAATGTTCCATATTATATGCAATGCCAAACAAATGAATTTCTGGCACATGAAACAAAATTCCAAATCATTTTTTAATAAGTAGAAATATATTTTTGTATTGTTAAATAATTTAGTAAAGTAAACCAAAATGCGACATGCGTAAGTTTAAAAAAATAATGTATAAGCAATTTTGGACCTATTGCGTTATTTATTAAACTAAAATATATAATTTCATCTGCCAAACATTCACTTCACTGTTGACTGTATCTTATATTATTTTAATTTCTGGCACATATCAGCTGCTTTTCGGCAATAATAATGTAGACATTATATTTTTCTTATATATTGCATTCTCATATTATCTAGGCTCATGATTTCAGCTAAATTCAAATTTCAAGTAAATTGTCATTTCTAGCAGATCACAGTTCAAATGTCAAACAATGATAAGTGGTTTTTTGTAATTTTTGCCATTTATTTCTACAATATTACTATAGTTTTATCGTTCATTAAATCTTAAAAATTTCCTTGGACAAACTCTGAAAAGGATGATCAAAATCCGAAAAACCGTTTTGGAGAAATATCAAATCATACACAGAAGAAGAAAAAAAATATATATATATATATATATATATATATGTATGTATGTGTGTATGTATACGTGTGTGAATATCTAGTTCTAATACGAATTGCATTTCCTGCTGTATAATATTTGATTTGCAATCAATGTCAACATTCTTCAGAATCACAATGAAACAATTCCATTCCCCAGAGATGAGTACAATGGAACAATGACCGCAAATCCAAATATCACCTCAAAATAAAACATATAACAATCTCATTACACATTTGCTATATATCTCTCCTGATATGACAAAAATTTATAAACATTCAGTGCAAACATTCCCATCCGGTTTAGTAAGGAAAGAATTTGTTCAAATATTTGCATATTTCTAATGCATTCAATGTGGTAGATTATTATGAGCTAAATTTTACATTTTCTCGATAATTTTTCAAAAAACGTTAATTATATGAAATTTATTTGCGATCAATCTCTTACAAATAATTTAAATATTATTTCTCTTAAGTCTTTTTGACGATCAATCACATATTAAAGAAATCTTTTATCAAATTCCGAGAAATTCAATAAAAGACTAATTTACACAATATAATAAAAACAATATGAGCAAAACACAACTATAACGTGACGCAAAGAAGATATAAATTCGGTTATCCAAAAATTTAAATAAAAAAACAATTTTTTTTGCAACCTGTTACTTTTTTCTCACCATGACGCGTTCTATTTTAATTTTTCTGGCGCGAACTATAAATCATATGACTTAGGAAGTCCCATTTAAATAATGGGATCTTTTGAATCATATAATAATATATTAAAAAAAGTCATTAATCAAAATTAGATGTCTATACAGTTCCGTGTAGAGTTTGCATGATTGACGCATTTATCCAACTGGTTTCTTTTTAATAAACGCTAAACTTTTTTTTGCAATCCCGTCAATCAAATTCATAATCATGAATAATTTGCGAAAATATTTACACGCGAATTCTTCTTTGTGTATGTAGGCATATAACTAAATTTGTTTTTTTCATTTGTTTATGTAAGATTAGAAGTTTTTGTATGCGTATAATATAATCTTTTGCGAGTTAGTAATCATGGATGCAGGATTGAGGTTATGCATAGTTTTTTGATTATATATATATATATATATATATATATAGCATATTTTTGGTAGTACTTGAAATGCCTAAATTCAAGTTGCTAATTAGAATGCCAACCCGGTGTTTGGGGGCGTCCGGGTATTATTTTAGTATTATATAATAGTTCTTTAGGTCTTATATTCTTTTTTCTTATACATATAAGAATAATAAAGGGCCTGAAGATTCGCGGGTAAGAAGGTCCACCACCGATATCTCAAAAACAGGCGATGAGAAATTTTTACTAACAATATTTGAAAGCAGAGAGCGAAAGATAAATACCAGCTATCACATTGATTCTCACGACGTCGCTACCAATAGATAAAATGAAGAAGCGATAAAATTTTTGGGAAGACAGGTCTAGCGGTTTTGGAGATTCAATGAAAAAAGTAAAAGAAATGCCTTTTGGCGGTCAAAAATGATATATGCACATCCAATTATCAAATATTTTGTATATTTTTTCTCTAACACAGCCACGCAGCACAATTTGAAGAAAAGTTCAAAATTTTCAAAAAGTTTTAAAATATAAAAAAAAAATAATTTAAAAAAAGTTCATTTTTTTAATTTCAAAATTCTCAAAAATCGAAAGTTTATCAAAGTTTTCAACAAATTTTAATATACATATATATATAATTTCAATTTTAATTTTCGCTACGAAGTTCTAGCAATTTGCGTTAAGGCAAAATGCCATGCACTACTAGTAATTTTTCTTACAATTCAAATTTCAAAAATTCTTAAAAATCTTTTTTTTTTAAGTTTTAAAAAAAAATTAACAAGTTTTGATCGCCTTCTCTACAAACTGATCATTTCTCCAAACTATCAACACAAACAAAACGTTTTTTGAATTCGATGATCAGTTCTATTATTTGATTATTTAAATTATTATTAATATAAGTGTGGTTAAATTTAAACAAATATTTACATATTCTAAACAATATTTGCAACCGGCAACATCTTGAAAGAACATCATTGGAAATCCTCGAATTGAAAAAAAAATTATAATAACCGCTCATTTACTATCTAATTTGCAATTCTAATAAGAAACTTCATAAATAGATTGGTTAATAAACTTGTAAATTTAAATATAAATCAATACTGTAAATTTACATCGAATGACTCACTTATCACATCACAACCAACATATAATAAAATTTAAAAAAAAATTAATTGTTACAAAACGTTAAGTATTATAATTTCATCATGACTTAGACTTTTTTTAGAATTTTAGAAGTAACAACCAGTAATAATAAATAAATTTGCTATGTAAATTTTACATAATGACAAAGTAATGATAATTTATTATTCATTTATGCATAACAGACACCTTCAATTAAAAAGCCTATCGGTTGCGAAATATGAGGAATTTTTTAATGTCACTATAATGAGCTGTAAAAAGAGTATTAAATCATGCAAATTTGTTTCAGTTTTTTAATAATCACAATAATTTGCGTAAATGGAATAATTGGAATTTCCAGCATCTTACTTTTAATTCCAGATTCCCAGTTCTAGTTTGAGCTATCATAAATAGTTTTAAGGGACAAAACTTCAAATAGTTTTACAAAAAAAATATATCTCATAAATTTTATGCATTCAGGCAATTGCTAAAACATTAATTTGTAAAAAACATTGTGCATTTTTTTTTAAATCTGACGAGTTTCTTTAGAACTAGTTTTTTTCCAAAATCCTTATGGTTTTTCAGGACTTTCAGGACAAATTCAAATGTTTGATCGAATATTTTTTAAAAATTTTAATTTTTGGTACGGAAAGTTCCAGGAATCTTCCTTAAGGCGCGATGATTTAGTTTTTAAATTAACAAGTACAAAATGTTTGCTCTTTAAGGAAATATATCAATAAATTTCTAAATAATCAGGTAGTTTCAAAAAGTAGCAATTAAAGGTTCTTAATATATTATAGTTTTGGTAAATAAATGACCAAGTGATTCAAAAAAGATTAAATCGTTTTTAAATTAGCAAATTGTAAAGTACCAAGAAAATATAGGAATCTTAGGAATTATTTTAAAAATTACTTAATAAATCAAAAATTGATAGATTTTCATAAAACACACGGATATTATGAAATAGAAAACAAAACTGCTCCTTTGAAGGAACAAGGCAAGGTATAATAAATACAATTTGAATTAACAAAATTCAATAAAAATAGCATAATAAATTATGTAGACTCTAGTGTATATTATTAGGTATGTATGTATAAATATTTTATGTATGTCATCCAGATATACTAGCAGAAATTATTCATCATGTCAAGTTTAATCTAAATAAATCAGAATAAATACACAAATCAATTGAGAATGATTGATGGCGAAATTCATGGACATCAAATAATTGCATAGAGAAATTTCTATCTCAGAAAATACTACTTTTTTAAATTATTTGCGACAAATATCAGTCTGTTAATAAATCAGATTCGATTTAAATCTTAATAAAAAATATTTATGATGAAATTAGTCAATCCATAATCCGAGGTTAAGTTCATCCGGAACCGGAAAAAGTTAACATGCAAAAATTGTATTAAATCATGTGTAATTTTTGCAGTTTATGGTAATTTATGTAGACAGCCAAACTAAACTTGTTGATTTTAAACTATTGTAGTAACAGGCTTGAGTAAAATTTTAAAATCTTATAAAAATGGAATAAATATTTATATAACATACATTAGCAATATAATCATCATAAAACATTTTAATTTTATTGACGACGTGAAGAACTGATAAAATTTTTGAGAAGTGTAAAAAAATGCCAATTGGCGGTCAAAAAAAAATCATTAGATATATGCACATCAAATTAACAGGAATTCATAAAAATTTGATTTTTGTAAGTTTTAAAAAAGTTAAATCGTTTTCAAAAAAAATAATTTTCGGTACGGAAAGTTCCAGTAATTTGATGCCTTAAGGCATGATGCTATGCATATACCACTAGTTTTTCTCAAATAATAGTTAACGTTTTTAAATATCAAAACTCAGTATTATTTTCCCACATTTCCATGGAGCTTAAAATCTAGTTTCCATACATGGATGTTTCAACTTTCTATTACCAAATAAATTTTCCACTGTCGACAAGGAATTGAAAAATCGTTTCACTAAGTATTACCTCGAAGTTTTTCAATATATCACACTTAATAAATTATGACGTAAAATATTATTCTGTTGCAATCGCAAACAATAATAAAAACCGGTATAGAGAATCGTGTTGCAATATGGTCTTACATGCGGAAAATACATTAAAGGAGCAATCACATAGAAAATTCTCATCATGGTTGATATTTTCATGTAAATCAGTAGCATTAAAATATTTATAAAACAATATATAAATGCAATGAAACATATAAAAGGTATTATTAAGATGAATTCTTTTCTTGGTGCTATTTCATGCCAATCATTAAATTTAATTACATTAGAATGATTGCATTGAAATTTTATTTTTAACTAAATATCCGCATTTCAACTGTGAAATATTCAAAATTTCAATAATCAAGTATATGTAGCACTATTTTCTAGATTTTATTAAATTTGATCTAGTTATTACTAATGGAAAAAAATTGTGATATTCGAGAACAAAATTAAAAGTTATTTGAAAGAACGTAAAAAAATCTTCTAAATCCATATAATGCAGATTACCAAAATACTAAAGTCTGCATTTCAGCCACAAATTATTCAAAATTTTAATAGTGTATATAACAGTTTTTACTGAATTTTAGTAAAGTTTATGTAGTTATTACTAATGTAAAATATTATAATGTCCAATATGAAAATTAAATGTTATTTGAAAAAAAACGTAAAAAAAATGTCCTAAATCTATATAATGCAAAATATCAAAATACTGAAGCCTGCATTTCAACTACAAATTATTCAAAATTTGTTTATAAAAGTGTATACAATATTTTATACCAATTTGTAGTAAATTTTATCTAGTTTGTATTGTAAAAAAATTATAATGCGCGAAATAAAAATTGAAAGTTATTTGAAGAAACGTAAAAAATGTTTTAAATCCATATAATGCAAATTATCAAAATACTAAAATACGCATTTCAACTAAGGATTGTTCAAAACTTTAATAAATAAATGTATATAACATTTTATACCAGTTTGTAGTAAATTTTATCTAGATTTTACATACATAAAAACATTATAATATCCGAAATTTTGGAAAAAAGTAAAAAAATGTCCCATATCAATATAATGCAGACTATCAAAATACTAAAGACTGCATTTCAACTACGAATTACTCAAAATTTTAATATCCAAGTGTATATAACAGTTTTCACCAGATTTTAGTAAATTTTATATAATTTTTATCTATGTGAAAAAATTATAAGGCCCCTAAAAAAAATCAAAAGTTATTTGAAAAAAAAAAAGTAAAAAAAAATGTCTTAAATCCATATAGTGCACACTATCGAAATACTAAAGTCTGCATTCCAACAACAAATTACTTAAAATTTTAATATCCACATGTTTATAAGAATTTTCACTAAATTTTAGTGAATTTTATATAATTTTTACTTATGTAAAAAAATTATAAGATCCCTAAATAAAATCAAAAGTTATTTGAAGAAAACAAGAAAAATGTTCTGAATTCATATAAAGGAAATTGTATATAAAATAAACTAAAATACGCATTTGAACCACGAATTATCCAAAATGTCATTATAGAATTGTATATAACAGTTTGTACTGAATTTTAGTAAATTTTATCTAGTTTTTATTTTCATGTATATAACAAAATGTCCGGGGAAAAAATTTTTAGGTATTCAAAAAAATGTCCAAAATTTACCGTATGACGGGTATTTTTACCCAGCCCGCCTTTTTTAACATTTTTTCAAAGTAAAGTAGTAAGACAAAAGATAATTAATATAAGATAAATGTATCAATTATCATTATAAAAAAGTGTATACTCACATAAGTATTTTACAACAGGCGAATGGTTCCTTCCAATAAGATATCACTGTATTTTTATATCTCGAATGAAGTCTTTTACTAATTCTCTTAATTGCTTTATTAACTTTTAGTTAATGAATCAGTCTTTGTCATCTGTTGTTCACTAACATCGCCATTTGAATGGAATTATATTTAGTATTTCTGTAAAATAAATTGATAGCGTCAATAAACAGACATGTTGGCGTGCATGAAATCATAAAATGCGATAATTAATTTCAATTTTAATCAAAATGTGATGACATGAAATTAATTATTGCAATTTGCGGATGTATAAAGCACATGGATACTGGATTTTATTAAGTCTTCTTTACTTGGTTTATGTTTTCTAAACGTTTCAAGCCATTCTGAATCGAATGAGACCAAATTTCATGGGTGCAGATTTTTTTAATCAAATTTTCATTATATTTTTACTTCATTGATTGTTGAATATTTCTCAACAACTTTCTACGATTGCCTGCTTGCCATACGAATGATTGAAAATTATCATAATTAAATGTTTAATTAACATTTTAAGAGAGTACATAAATGTTAACGTTAGATAATGATCTGCTGATTTAAGATTTCGAGTAAACAAACTCCGGAATAATATTTTCTGTTAATTATTTACAGTTGTAATTGATAGCAATTTTTATAAACATTTTGAAAATAGTGAAGTAACATTTCATGATTCAAATTTTTAACGTTTTTTTGAAATATTGGGTAAATATACTTTACCCTGTTTTAGTGTTCTCCGCACTCAACAGAGGGCCTATTGTGCTCAATTTTATCACTATTTGTAAAAAACTTAAGTTTTTAAAACAAGATTTTTTTTTATTAAAATATGAAAAAATTAGATTTTAGAAAAATTTTAAATCTCGAAAAAAAACTTGACTTTTTTGAAAAAAAAACTTAAAAAAATGATGTTTTTTATATTTCAAAATATTTTGAAAATTTTTAACTTTTTATCAAAGCAATCGCGCAGCTTCAGGTGCATAGAGACGAAAAATCAACTATTTTTTACTAGATCTCCGAAACCGCTAAACCTGCCTTTCGAAAATTTAACCAGTTTTCACCATGTCAGTATGAGTAAAATGTTTTTTGAATTATTAAAATCGCTCCGTTATTTAAAAAAAACTGTACCGTTTTTGGCACTTTTTGCTCTGTTTTTGGCAATTCTTGACCCAAATCTGTTGAACCGCGTTCGCAAAATCGTCGACGAAAATTTGTATCCAAACACACACACACACACACACATTTTTGTAAGGTATGCCAAAATGCTCAGAGACCTCTGGAACGTAAAGCTACATAAAAAATTCCCTACGGGAAGTTATTAATCTAAAATGTTAAATTTTGAGCATGATATTTGCTAACAAAATATTTCATAACTGTTATGAATAACATCTCTGTTTTAAATATAATATTTTAGAGTAAAGTATCTAATTTCAAAATGACTTGGTAAGAATAAAAATAGCATTAGTTTTAAGAAGGAATTCGTATCTAATTTCAAAATCAAACTTTTTTATTTTAAACAAACAGAATTTTTATTATGAAGATCAATTTCATAATATCAAATTGCATTTAGGTTACAAATCTTGTTTATACTAAACCAAACCATGATTGTAATTAATACATGTTTTGATCATAATTATGAACATCTGTTTATTTGGATATTTTTGTAAGTTTCCGTAGTGTGTGTGTGTGTGTGTGGTATGTGTGTTTGCATGTTTGGATACAATTATTCGCCGACGATTTTGAGAGCACGGATCAACCGATTTGAATAATTCAAAAAGCATTTGATTCCTATTGATAAGGAGACGTGCTGATTAGTTTTTGGCAAAGGCAGGTTCAGCCGTTTCGAAGATAGTGGGCACGATATGCCAAAAATAACAATTTAGTTTTTGAGAGAACTTAGCATTCGATTTGTATAAATACAAAAAACAATTCTTTCGTATTGATGGACTGAAATATTGATTAAATTTCTGGGAAGGCAGGTCCAGTTTTAGAGATCCAGATTTTTTTTTTGAAGCTGTCATTTGGCGGTCAAAAATGACCATTAGACATATGCACATCAAATATAGATATTTTATAAAGATTTAAAAAAAAGCAATATTTGGCACAATTTCTATGGGTTCCGTACCAAGATATATAATGTTTAAAGTTTACTTTTATCTAGTAGTTCAAACAAAAATCCTCGACATTTTTGACACTATGGATAAACCAACTTGAATGGTTTTCAAAATTTTTAATAAACTCCAAAATTTTTAAAAGAGCCGAATTTTTTCAAAATAATATCAAAATTTTCAGAAAGATTCGATCAAAAATTGAAAAAATTCAAGAAAGTTGGAAGAATTTATTCATAGTTTTAAATTATTTAAATTAAGGTACGGAAAGTTCCTGCAAATTTGCTTTAAGGAATGCCTTATTATTTGAATATCCTTTTGGCAAGTTGCACATTTATCTTTAACAAGTACCAATAATAATGTAAATTAGATATTAAACTTGTAATTTGCAAACATTTTTCAATTATGTCATTTATGTATTCCTATTGGCAAGTTGCACGTATAGAAACCGTCTAGTTTCATCACTTTTTTATATTAGAAGATATTTAAAAAAAAGTTCTTAAATTTTCGAATAAAATTTTGTTTCCTCGATGTTTCTTTTTTGTCCTTCGTTTTCGTCAAAAATCGTTAATAGATTTTGAAAATTGGAAAACTTGTCGAATGATTCAGTTTTTGATGAAGACCTTTTGAGCCATTTCTTTGTAATTAAATGTTTTAATAAAACATTACACAGGAGTCTATTTTAATCTACTATGTTCAAATAGTGATGTAAGACATTGTGCCTTAAGTCAAATTGCTGGAACTTTCCTTACCTTAATTTAAAAACTATAAATAAATATGAATTCAACATTTTTGAAAAATTTGAAATTTTTCAATTTTTGTTTAATCTTTCACAAAATTTTGAAATTATTTTGAAAAATTCGACTTTTTTGAAAATGTTGGAGTTTATTAAAAATGTTGAAACCCATTTAAGTCTATAGTTGATCCATGGTGTCAAAATTATCGAGAATTTTTTTTTCAACTACAAGTGAACTTTAAATATTATATATCTAGGTACGGAACCCATAGAAATTGTAACAAATATTGTATTTTTTATTAAAATCTCTATGAAATATCTGATATTTCATGTGCATATGTCTAATGATCACTTTTGATCGCCAAATGGCATATTTTTAAACTTTTTTTAAACCAGGGGTACTTTGGTAAGTCAACCAATCAATCAACTATTTTTACACAATTTTGTATATCAAATTTCATAAAAATAGTTTGCAAAAATAATTAGGCTTACAAACACAAAATACACGTAAACACAACAAAAATAACATACAACAGAA